ATGATTTCCATTTACATTTTTGAAATGTTGAGTTAGAGGTGCTTGCAAAATAAGCAAGTAGAGATGTCCAAAGGGGACTGGAATTTGGGTCTTGTGCTCAGTGAGAGCCTTTGGGCTAGAGATACATATTTGGTAGTCATCTGCTTGCATATAGTAATTGGACCACAGGAGTGGGTGGGATTACTCAGGGAAGGCAGGTGGAGAAACAAGAGAAGAGCCCAAGGACAACGCCCCAGCTGGGGTTCACAGATAAAGGTTGAGCAAGGCAGCCAGCAGAAGAGATAGAGAAGGAAGCAGAGAACCAGTAACAGGTGGTATCTCAAAGAAGAGTGGAAGAGAATATTTCAGAATGAAGAAAGCAGCAGTGTCAGATGCTATTGAAGGATGAGGTACATGAGGTTGGAGAAGGTCCATTGGTTCTACAAATAGAGGACTCTGAGGGATTTCTGTGTCTTCAGTTCTCATGTATAAAGCTGGATCAATAGTGCCTTTCTTGGAGAGAGAAGAGGGTAAGGTTGGGAGCAGATAGACAGAAGGATCTCTGTTCCAAAGCAGCCTGAATGCACCTCTATTACAGCACAGCTCGCACTGTTAGGATTGCGTACAGGTTGAGCCCACCCACAGGATTGTGAGCTGGACTGCATAGGCACACCCAGTCCCACGACTCAGAGGAGACTCACTAATAATTTCATTGTAAATTCTTTTAGACTTTTCCCTCTGCAAATAAACACATATGTGTTTATATGTGTGCACAAAAGTAATTGAAAAAAATATTGGCTCATACTGTGGATGTTCTGAGAACCTTTTTTTTCCACTTAACTGAATAAATTAATCATCTTTCTATGTTACTACATGTTGAGCTATTCTAGTACTTAATAATTGCAAAATATTTATTGTTTGAGTGGACTATAATTTATTTAACAAAGTGAGCCTTTAATGATGAGCTTTTAGCTTTTTACTATCACAAACAGTACTGGAATAAATATTTTTGTACACATATCTTCTTTGCACACCTTGGCGCGAGGTGAGTGTAGGTTAAATTCCAGGGACTGGGTCTTTTCCATCTCTGTACCCTCAGCACCAGGCATAAAGTAGGTACTTAGTAAAGGTATTAAAATGCCCTGAATTTAGGTCTTGAGGTCCTCCAGTGTCTTGTTTATCTTTGTATTTTTAGCATCTATAACAGTGACCAACAAAATTTTGCTTGCTAAATGAATAATCTCAAGAATATAGAGAACTCTGCTCAGAAAAGGAAAGTATTGAGTAGTGACCAGCTTTTAAGTGATGTGTGTATTAGAACACCTCGCTAAGCATTGCCAGCCAGGAAGCACCTGGAGACATTTACTCTGAGTGTTCTGCATATTTCTCTTCCTCTCCTTGTGAGGAGTGTTGATGTATTCCTTTCCCTGAGCAGTAAGTAGAATGGCTAGATGAAATTTCTAGGTAGATAATTGGTTAGAATGAGAAGTTAAAGACTCTTGTCTTCCCTTCAGAGTTATATTTTTCACCTGCAGGATGCCCTTCACAGAATCTTTTTTTTTTTTAATATATTTTTATTGATTTTTTACAGAGAGGAAGGGAGAGGGATAGAGAGTTGGAAACATCGACGAGAGAGAAACATCGATCAGCTGCCTCCTGCACACTCCCCACTGGGGATGCGCCCGCAACCAAGGCACATGCCCCCGGCCGGAATCGAACCTGGGACGCCTCAGTCTGCAGGCCGACGCTCTGTCCACTGAGCCAAACCGGCCAGGGCCCTTCACAGAATCTTAAAAGCAGGAGCATATTCTTGTTCAGCCCTGCATGACTAGTGCCTAGCATACAGAGATGGGCCTTCAGCAAATGTGGAGGGTAAGGGAATCATTAAGTGTTAGGCTATACTAGTGGTCGGCAAACTGCGGCTCGCGAGCCACATGCAGCTCTTTGGCCCCTTGAATGTGGCTCTTCCACAAAGTACCACGTGCGGGCGCACACGTACAGTGTGATTGAAACTTCGTGGTCCATGCACAGAAGTTGGTTTTCGGAAAGGAGATAGATGAAATAAGTATACAAGACGAGTGTGGATGGGAGAGTTGGAAGGGGTCGACCTCAGCGAACGTACCTCAATCAGATTGAGGACGTTTTTAGCAAAGGCCAGCTTAGGAGTACCCTAATTAAGTTAATAACAATGTACCTACCTATATAGTTTAAGTTTAAAAAATTTGGCTCTCAAAAGAAATTTCAATGGTTGTACTGTTGATATTTGGCTCTGTTGACTAATGAGTTTGCCAACCACTGGGCTATACAGTTGGCATAAGCTGATAAACTTTTCAAATGGTTTTGACTATTTCCCCAAATTTAAATCTGTTTTCTGCTTCCCTTTGTTCAATGATGATTCTTTTTAGTATATATTGAATTCTGGTATATAATGAGGTCTATTTCTGTGCTTCATTTTTTTATTCATTAGGTTTATTTTCTGGTGCTAGTTCATGTAATTTTAACTATTGTTGTTTATAATATGTCCTAATCTTCTCTCTGTATATAAGGCTAATATGCAGAGTGTCCCCTTGGATGTTCAACCGGGAGACCAGGAGTTCAATTGCTCACTATGCTGTACGCTGACCACCAGAGGGCAGCGTGGATGAAGGAAGGAAGGAAGGCCTTGGCGAACAGCTGGAAGGCCCCATTGGCTCTGATCTCTGGCTAGGCCTAGGGACCCTACCTATGCATGAATTTCATGCACCAAGCCTCTAATACAGCCGTGGGCAAACTACGGCCTGCGGGCCGGATCCGGCCCGTTTGAAATGAATAAAACTAAAAAAAAAAAAAGACCGTACCCTTTTATGTAATGATGTTTACTTTGACTTTATATTAGTTCACACAAACACTCCATCCATGCTTTTGTTCCAGCCCTCCGGTCCAGTTTAAGAACCCATTGTGGCCCTCGAGTCAAAAAGTTTGCCCACCTCTGCTCTAATATCTTATAAGGCTAAATGCTGATAATTCCTCTTTTCTAAAATATTTTAGACTTTTACCCATTTATATTTCTATAATAAGTCTATAAATATTGGTTGTCTTCTAATACAAACAGCCTATTGAGATTACATTACATTTACAAATTAGCTTCAGTACTGGCATTCTTTTACTAACTTTTCATCATATAATATGGTAGTTTTCCCCTTGTTTTACATATTTTAGTAAAAGTATGTTATTTTTCATGTGGGCCTATGTCTCCACAACACTTAATCGAACCACTCTTCTGATCCCTAGCTCCTGCCATGGTGCTGTTTGCTAGAGGTACAGAAATGAACAAATCACAGCTCTTAACCTCAAGGAGCTCTCTTTGGTGGACAAGAGAGAGAACTGATCTAATGGCAACTAATTATAATAATTATTGTGATAAACAGAAGCCCAAGGTGCTAAGGAAGCACAGAGGAGGCATACAACCAAGCCTAGGGGTGTTAAAGAAGACTTCCTAGGGAAGGGACTCCTGTACTGAGTCTTAAAGACAGAGTGGAAGTTAACCAGATGAAGTGGGCAGAAATATTCCAGGCAGACAGAATGTTTATTGGAAAATATGTTCAAAAGCAGAGACTTTCAAAATATTGAAGTATTTTAGGAGCTACAAGTAGCTGGAGTATAGATGACAGTAGGATGGTAGCTGGAAATGAAGCTAGAAAGCAGGTGGGAGGGTGGCAGATGATTGAAGGGACTTGTGTGACAAGATATGAATTTGGATATAGAATTGAAAGACTTAAGTAGAGCAGTGAAATGGTCAGGTTTATGTTTTAGAAAAAAATATCCCTAAAAAGAGAAAATAATAAAGTTAAATAAAGACGTCTCTGGCTTCTGTAGAAGATGGCATTAAGGGGTTCCAAATGTATTGCATTTGGTAGTTTGGACTCAAAAGACTCTTTTAATCTAAAGCAGTCTGTGACCTTATTCCCCTTTTTAAGAAATACCATTTACCATTATAGAAACCAGGTCTGTTGTCCTGTGGAATGTGCCACATTCTGAATTTGTCTGTTTCCTCATACTATAACCTATTCCTCTGCCTCTCATATTTTCTATAAACTGGAAGTTAGCATTGAATGATTCATTGGATTCTGGTTCATCTTTTCTCTGGGAGGAGGGGCAAGAATACTTCATAGGTAGGGCAGTGAAGTGCTACCTGTGTCTGATGGTGCCACTCTCAGGGATGCTGATTGATCAGTGGTTCAGGTCATGACAGCTCGTTCCTCCATTATAAATTTCCCCATCAGCCTTCTATTGAATGAATTGATCTACTGATGATTAGCACCTGAGTGAATTATTTCATCATGGGCTACAATTTTTTTTTTTAAATTCTGTCAATCTTTTCACATTTATTAGCTGAATAAAGAACATTTCCTTGCCCTAGCCAGTTTGGCTCAGTGGATAAAATGTTGGCCCATGGACTGACCGAGGATTTGATTCTGGTCTAGAGCATGTACCTTGGTTGCAGGCTCAATCCCCACCCCGGTCGGGGCATGTGCGGGAGGCAACTAATCAATGTGTCTCTCTCACATCGATGTTTCTCTCTCTGACTCTCCCCCTTCCTTGCACTCTCTCCAAAAAAAATCAGTGGAAAATATCCTTGGGTGAGGACTAACAACAACAACAAAGAACATTTCTTCAATAGCTAGAGCTGTTTGGTTGTTCTGAAATATAGTATGTACCAAAAAGATAAGAAAAATGATTACTTCATTTCTTTTATTGCAATTTTTGGATTAAGGTGTTGGCACCTTAGTTGTTCTGTTGTAAGTATCTTTTGGTCATGTTTCTATTTTATGACTTAATACATTGGCGAGTCCAGTGCTTCTCCCCCTAGTGATTACCTTGTAACCCCAGTCTTTGAGAAATGGTCTTCATTTGCACAAGAGCCTTAAAATCCTTAGGGATGTGAATGGCTTTCTAAGTGCCATACACACATCAGTCCATCTAGTCCTGTACTTTCAGAAGACAGAACAACCTTTCCTTTGGTTTCTCTTCTCTTGCTCCAGGTCACACGGTGAATAAGATGCGTCAACACTCAGATTCAGAAGTGGCTTGTCTTGCCAAAGAAGTTTACACTGAGTGGAGAACTTTCATTGAGAAACATGCAGATAGACCTTCTATTGAAGTCCGAAGTGATTCCAAAACCGAGGCACTTAGGAAAAACGCCCAGAAATTACTTGCAGAAGCGTTGGAATTAGAGGTAATGTCTGGTTGGAATGTGATTATTAGGAGCTCTTGGTTAAATGAGCCTCACATTTTCAAAATGAACTTTCATAGTCTTAGTGCTGTGGCTTTATTCTGTTTTTTTCTTTAAGGGTTCTGGATTTGTAATCATTCTGGGAGACAGTGTTGTAGAAAGGAACTAGCAAACCTGAATTAAAACCCTGGCTATAGTACGTACTAGCTGTGACACCTTAGGCAAATCCTTTAACATGAGGCTTGATTTTTTTTTAACTATAAAATGATTATTGTTCCTACCACCTAAGGTTATTGGAAAGAGTAAATGGACTGTTTATACAAAAGAATAGTATAGTGCCTGGTGATTACAAGTCACTTAATGAATGTTGGCTCCTTCCATTTATTTTATTTATTTATTTTTATTAAATATATTTTTATTGATTTCAGAGAGGAAGGGAGAGGGAGGGAAAGATAAAAACATTTATAATGAGAGAGAATCATTGATCAGCTGCCTCCTGCACACCCTCCACTGGGGATTGAGCCCACACCCAGGCTTATGCCCTGACCAGGAATCGAACCTTGACCTCCTGGTTCATAGGTTGACACTCAACCATTGAGCCACATTGACTGGGTAGGCTCCTTCCATTTAAAATTTGTTCTCTTGCCACTGAAGCAAAAATTCTGGGATGGACTCTGTTATGGAATATCAGTGGCAAAAGAAATAGCTGTCTATTGAAAAGATTCTACTCCCCCATTTTTTTGTCCATACTCTAAAGCATAGAATCAATTGGCTAGACATAATTCCTATCATCCTGATAGCCAACAGTTCAGATGACATTAGTGGCTTGAGGTGCACATGCTAAAAGGATTTTTGCTCATTAACAATAATATTAATCACCATTATCAAACAAATCTTATATGTCAGTTCATACTCTGGAAAAATCAGACATATAATATTTATATATTTTCCTCTTTTTAGGGTATCCCTATCAAAGTTTCTTTAAGAATAATTTAATATTATTAACAAAGGAAGCAATTCAGAAGTCTGATTTAAATGCTAGAACTGTTACTATATTCTCTGAAAATAATTTTAACCTTTCTGTCTCAATTATGTATCTACAAAAGAAGGGCAAATGAACTCATGGTATATTATTTACTTTTTAAAATATAGTTTTGGATTTTTAAATACACACTTAGAAAATGTGAAAAACATAGAAAGGAAAAATAAGATCACCATTGAACTTACCACCCGGATATAATCTTGTTAGCATTTTGGTGCATTTTCTGTTTGGTAATTATTATAACTTTTTAAATGAATGCTATAATATGATTATCCCAGATTATTAAGAGCCAATTATATGCCAAATGTTCCATAAGATAGTTTTATTGATTATTTAAACAACATTGCAGAAAATTAACAATAATTTACATTTATGTTATCTTTTTCATCTTGATCAATATCCGTTAGTGTCATTTTGTATATCCTTTTCTATATATGGTTATTTTTTCATTTTTATAATTTTCAGTGTTATTTGATAGCTCAGCAAATTGCTATGCTGTTAAGTTTGCTTTTCTTTTCCTAAAGGAAGCTTTACTATGAATATTAAGCCCTTGCAAGAGAGAAAAAAATATGAAGGTTGTAAGTCTAAATAAATAACTTTCCAGAATATTGATTAGCCAACAAGACTTGCTATTTGATATTTTAAATAAAGTTTATTTTTTAAATAAACCAAAATTATTACAGAAACATAGAGTGTGGGTATGTAATATGTAGTTAATGTGGTGTTAAATTCCAGTTCCCTGTGGTATATTTTTAAGTAAATGATAATAACGAAGCAATGCTTGTGAGGATTAATGAGCAGTTTGCCTACTATATTAAACTCCATAATAATTATCCTTTTAGTTTATCCATTAATTATCCTTTAAATGGCACATCAAGTGGTAAGCACTCAAGTGTTACAAAGCAAAGTTAAAAAAGTGATACATTCGTTAGTGCTTTCCAACATAATTGGAGAAAATATCAGATTAAGCATAGTTGAGTGGTTTTGTTCCCAAAGAGTAAATTTTAAAAATTAAAAAGTATGCATCTTTCTTTCTTCCTTGGCCAAAAAAAAAAAAAAATCAATCTGTTTTTCTTGCATAAATAGTATTTGATAATAGTTTGATCAGTTTGATGTGTCGAAGAATTATAAACATTTTTGCATAAAAGTTAACTCTTAGCACCTATTACCATCTGAAACATTTCCATATTAAGGTAAATCAGTGACCCATCTAATCCAGTATCTGGTCTTTGACAGTAACCAATGTTGAGTGCATTCAAATCAGACATCCAATCTCCACAAATGTACTTTATCAGGCAGTAGTAAACCATTGGGTAAGTTACTGGCCTGGCGACTAAAAAGCCTTTACAATTTGATCCTAGCATGTGTTTTTACAGATCTACCCATTACATTTTTTGTAGAAAATAAATGTTTTCATGTTATTTGTTTTTGTTATATTCTTTTGTAGTGAAAGCCACAGATGAGGAATATACACACACAGCCAAATGTATCTCTTTATTACTGTATAGATCTTGCTTTCCAGATTCATAGATTGTTTCCTTGTTCTTGGAATAATGGAATAGATGAATAAAAACTCCATTGTTGAAACCCTGGCTCCATTCCCCTTTACTTTCTCCCTTCTGGATCTTCTTTGTTCTTCCCTACATTTTAGATCTTTCCTCATATGAACATCCCCTGTGGTGTCATTCTCTTACTTCCCCTTCCTCATTATCCACTCTCCTTCCTACCTCATGGCCTGTGATCATTTTCCTATTATGTCATTAAAAAAAATGAACCTGATTCTCAAAGTGAGCCTGTATCATTAAGAGTTATGAAACACTGGCTGGTTGGCCCAGTTGGTTGTCAGATGGTGCTAATGAGATCCAGGTCAGGGGTACGTCCCCATATGGGACTGTTAGTTTTTTCTTTGTTTAATGGCCTCAGACTGCACCTCTGGCTTTGACCAGCTCTTTCATAAATGTATTTAAATGGTCAAAAAGGAGTGTGGTTAGATAGGTACAAACCCAGTCATGCTCTGTGTGCTAAAACTCACACAAAGTTTGCTTCTAGTGGATATTCAATTCAATAGATGTTTAGTACTACTACTGCTAGTGCCAGGGAGAATGCTAACATAAGTGAGTTGCATTCCCTGTCTTAAGGACGCTTACTGTCTCCTGGTGGAGAGCCTGTAAATGACTAACTAATAGAAGGCAAGATGAAATATAACTAAAATGGGTACAAGCAAATGGTGTAGACCAGTGGTCGGCAAACTGCGGCTCGGCAAACTGCGGCTCACGAGCCACATGCGGTTCTTTGGCCCCTTGAGTGTGGCTCTTCCACAAAATACCAACTTCTGCGCATGGGCCACGAAGTTTCCATCGCACTGTACGTGCGCGCCCGCACGTGGTATTTTGTGGAAGAGCCACACTCAAGGGGCCAAAGAGCCGCATGTGGCTCGCGAGCCGCAGTTTGCCGACCACGGGTGTAGACACACAAAGGACAGTATATGAAATCTGATAGGGGAATCTGGGAAGGTTTTATGAAAGAGATGGCAATTGAATTGGCCTTTGCAAGAGGAGTAGAATTTTGCTAACTTGAAAATACATATAAAATAGAAACATTATATTTCATATCTTATTTGCTATGTGTAGGATGTTATTGAAAGAGCAGGAAAGGAGGGAGGATATGTTGGGGGGTAGGGGAGAAGGACATTCATTTAACAAATATTTACTGAGCTCTTACCATGTGCTTGTACCTATGCTAGGCATGGGGAATTTAGAAATGGATCCAGCACAGTATCATCCCTAAAAGGGCTTACAGGCTTCTGTGAGAGATAGACAAATAAACAGTTACAGTACAACGTGGGAAGTTCTGCAGTTAAGGTACACACATAAAAAAGACCTGTTCCCTTGCTTTTAAAGGGCTTACAGATGTGGCAGACATCACTAATTGATTATGGCACCATTTCCCACTGAGGCCAGAATCCTTGATGAAAGAGCTCTAGGTGGTCATGTTTTATTCTAGGTGATCATGTTTTATATCTTCTCCAAGCTATAACCAATTTGTCCAGGATTGGACAACTGAATAACTCACAGGTACAAATAGATAGGGAAGGTAAATCAGATTCTCTGTCTCTGAGACATGTGAACTAGGAAATGCTAAGAAAACAACAGTGGGAGTGTTGGAACAGATGTTGGAGGAGTTATGAGGAAGCAGGGGTAGAAATGTGTAGAATATGGGGAGCAGTGAGTAAGGCAAATGGAGAGGAGCAAAAACCTAGGGGAGGAGACCAGGAAGGTCATAAGATACAGAGAAGGAATATGGTCCCCAAATGAATCCCTAGGTTTCTTGCAGCGTTCCTATTCCCATTTCCACTGGTGCATCTCACAGCAAAACTCCGTCTTCTCAAGGTATCAGTGAGACTTGGTCCTTTAGCTAAGTCCCAAAGGGCTTACCTAAATCACCAGGTTAGGACCCATTGGAAAGGAATCAACGATTTGGGTTGGTTTGGATTATCCAAGGGCAGTTTTAAGTTCATTCACTTTGTGCAATTAACTTTTATACAAAAAGGTACATGATGAATTATTATCCTGTATAATTTACATTTTAATATCACTGATGTTTTTCTTCACTTCTTCATTCTGATTGGCCTTCATTTAATAAGAAGGCATGAATGAGAATTGTTACATGCTTGCTCCCTATTCCCATCACATTGCTGGTAGAACACCTATTCCACTACCCAGTGGTTTCTGTGTATGTGCAGTCGCCTTTCTAGACTGTGATTCCTGGATGGTAGGGGGCAGGTCTTTTCTGCTCAGTCTCCCTATTTTTTTTTTTTAATATATTTTATTGATTTTTTACAGAGAGGAAGGGAGAGAGATGGAGAGTTAGAAACATCGATGAGAGAGAAACATCAATCAGCTGCCTCCTGCACATCTCCTACTGGGGATGTGCCCGCAACCCAGGTACATGCCCTTGCCCGGAATCAAACCTGGGACCCTTCAGTCCGCAGGCTGACTCTCTATCCACTGAGCCAAACCAGTTTCGGCATGCTCAGTCTCCCTAATACCAAGATCAGGCCAGACTCAGAGTAGCAAATCAGTAACTATTTGCTAAACAAAGTATGTATGAGTATCCAGTTATGCAAATTTCAAGGCACTGTCCGAGTTCTTTTTTTAAATATATACTGTAATTCAGTGGAATGGCCATGACCTGTTTGCAAAAGTATATATACCCTTTTCCCTCAAACCATTCCCCTAAAAAACACCCACCTTTTTCTTAACTGTTTAAGTGAATCTCTAAACAGTGACTAACCATCCTCACACTGGATTGAGGAGCCTCTCTGGCAAATGTTGCTGGACAAATGCTGGCCAGACAACTGGCCACCCTTTCAACCTCCTGAAGTGACCTGCTTCCAGGGCTGCCTCAGGCCAGGGGCTAGTTCGCTGTCCACTCAGGAGGCCATGAAGAGCTCGAGATGTCTGGGTTCTGGAGAGCCACGGAGCCAAGCCACATCCACTCACCCTAGCACAAGCCAGATCAGTCATCAGGACCACAAACTTCCTGGAACGTCTTGTCTGCTATACCTCGGCAGATGTCTGGGCCTGCGTATTCATTCTCTGTCCCTCTTTTTCTCTCTCAGGCCTGTTCTGCTCCTGCCGTCCTTATTTCTTCCAAGTTTCATTTTTCTGTTTGTTTTGGTCTGTCTGTTCCTTATATTAGGGTTTTTTTTTATCAAGTGTTAGGTGACTCTTTTCTATTTTTGGTACACTTTTTTCTTAAACTTTTCTTTTTAAATAGTATATAGCCCTGGCCAGTGTGGCTTGGTTGGAGTGTTGTCCCAGACACCAAAAGGTCGTGGGTTCGATTCCTGGGCACATACCCAGGTTGCAAGTTTGCTCCTCAGTCAGAGTGCATATAAGAGGCAACTGACTAATGTTGCTCTTTCATCAATATCTCTCTCTCTTTCTCTGTGTGTGTGTGTGTGTGTGTCTATCACTGTCTTCCTCTTCCCTCCCTTCCTTTAATTCTGTCTAGAAATCAATGGGAAAAATATCCTTGGGTGAGGATTAACCAAAAAAATAATAAAGATAAATAAAATATAGCATAAGTACACAAGAGATATATGTACAGATCAGTGAATTTATCACAAAGCACATGCCTACTTTGTGATAGACCCTAGCCAGCCCATACTCATTCTTCAAATCTCAAGTTAAACAGCATTTCCTTCCAAAGCCAGGCACTGCCCTCCAGGGTTGGGTCCCTTTGCTGTAGCTCTGCGCCCAGCATGTATTCCTGTCCTCTTTCTTAGCACTCGGTGCACTTGTAATCCATGTTCACTACTGCTTATTACTGGCCTGTGCTCACCATGAAGTCACAGACAGTGCCAGCCTTATTCACTGCTTTTCCCTCTCCCCGAGCACAGAGCCTAGCACATAGTAAGTGCTGAATAAATATTTGAATGAAGGGGGAAAAGCAAGTAAGAGAGAAAAATTTGTGTCCTGTATTCAAGGAACTCACTTTGTCCTGTATTCAAGGGACTCACTGTATTCAAGGAACTCACTATCCAAAAAATGGATAATTGTAGTATATTGTGATAATGACTAAGGGGAACTTGGGACATGTGGCAGCCCAAAGAAGAACTTTCAGTCCTCTAAGCTAGGATTTGCTTTCTTGTATTTTGCTTTTTAGCTAAGTTTTGACATACAAATAAGAATGTATTTCCTAGGGAAAGTGTACCTTGCTGAGGGAACAAGTATCTGTAGCAGACAGAGGTGTGTGAAAGCAGCTTAGTAGGCTCATGCGGGGCGATGCTCAGGACTCGGGAGGGGAGGGGCCTGGAAAGGAAATTGGGGCTGAGGGGTCCCCTGACCAGCAGCCCAACCTGGCCTGGATCCAGACCGCGTGGACCAAGTCCCATACCTGTCCTACTTTGATTATGTCTGCGACCTTAGGAGGACTTGGACCTGAGCCAAACCACCCTGGAATTGCTACAGGTCCCATCCCCTAAGTCTGCTGTGCTTAGCTGACCCTGCAAGCATCTCCTCAAACTCTACTGGTCACTCAGAATGCTGAGGGGACAGTCAGTGCAGTGAAGGCAGAAATATGAACTTGGAGTCGGGGCTCCAGGTCAGAGTCCCAGCTCTGCCTCTTAGTAGTTGGAAGAACTTGAACCTTTCTTTACCTTTGAACCCATTTCCTCATCTGCAAAATGAGATAATAGGAGTTGTGAGCATTCAATGTGAAAAGTGATCTACACACATATTAAGATCCAGATCCAGTGTTTCTGAGATGCAGTAAGGGGTTAAAAGGCACTCTTAAAACAAACCCTCCAAAAAGTATAAACTGTTACACTGATTTATTATCCTTGGTCTTTGTTTCCTGGTTGGTAAAGTACAGGGCCCAGTACCCGTCGCTTAGTTCAGGCCAGTTTCCTGTTATAATGGCAAATATTACCACCCGGCAGGGGTTGTGAATGAGGTCCCTGTCACAAAGCACATGGCCTTGTTCCTTAATTGCCAGGGTGGAATTAATTTGCTCTTCCTGTTTCTCTTGTGACAGGAAGTAGATGTCCTTGAATTTCAGTTGATTAATGGAAGCCTCTGAGCAGAGTGCTTCAGCCTCTCTTGTTTTTAATTCTTATGCGTTGCAAGGCCCTAATTTGATAATTTTGCTGTTTTTTAGATGGATCACCTACTGGTTGAAAATATTGAGCGGGAAACGTTTCATCTCTGCTCCCGCCTCATTAATGGGCCCTACCGGCGGACGGTGAGAGCCCTGGTCTTCACATTAAAGCACCAAGCTGAAATCCGGGCTCAGGTGAAGAACGGCTCGCTGCCAGTCGGCACGTTTGTACAGACCCACAAAAAATGACCTGAGGACGGTTCTAACCCTGGGCTGGGCAGAAAAGAAAATGTGTCCCTTTCTGCCATTCAAAGACTCTTTTGAGTTTGGGTGATGGCTGGTGCTGGCTGCGCTAAATTTTCCCATGGTGCCATTCCTTCAGACAGAGGCTGCAGGGAGCCCTGGGAGACAGGCTGCAGGAAATGCTTCATTAGCTGTAGTGCGCTGGTGCAGCCTAACAGGACATGCACAGGCTGTCCCTAGGAAGCACTGTATGGTTGACACCACCCAACACAGCAAAGGGTGACGGATTTTGGATTTCGCTGTGAGTATGCCAAGGACACCTCTAAACTTCCCCCACGTCAGGCAGATGAAGTTACTACTTTATTTCGCCACCCTGCAGGTAACTGAAACTCAATTACTGCTGCCGCTCACACAGTTCCATCCCCCTGAGTTTAGATGGCTCTGGTGCCTCTCAGAACTCCCCTGTCTGTTCTCTTTGCTCTACCCCAGGGGTGAGCCTGCCCGAGCCAGCCTACTACCCCTTCTTTCCAGAACTCACTTATCTGAATGCGTCAGCTCCCCCTGGAAGACCTTCTGTGTTGGTCTCCGGAGCCCCCATGCTGAGGCTCCTAATGAAGAACTGGCCTGCAGCATCCCCACACTCGGGCTTATTTGAATATGTGACATTCTCATTTTAAAGTTCTGTAGAAGATACATAATGAAATTCCTCTTGAAATGAATTACTGTAGTGAAAAATTCTATACATATATTTTTAAAATAAAATACCTCTACATAGGCCTATTGGAACAATTATGTAAATGATATTTGCTTTTTTATAAGTAATAATAAACTGGGACTTTCCCCCCGCCTAAAACAAAAGATATGGCTTGTTCATTGAAAAGTATTTTGGGTTGAGAAAAAGTATAGTTGGTGAAGATGAAAAATTATTGCAAAGAATTTGGAGAGATGGTAAGACCCAAGAAAGGTTTTTTGAGGTTAAGGGAGACTGGAGCATGTATGTAATCTGAAAAGGAGCTAATAAAAAAGGAGAGATTAAAAATACAAAAAATATGGGATGGGTTAAAAAGGACAGAAAGGAAGGGATTAACATTGCCTGTTTAATCCTCACATCTGTTGTGTTAGTAGATATTGTTTCAGTTTTTTTATATTTCTTCATTTATTCAGCAATCATTTATTGAGCACCCATTCCACGGAGTACTGTGGATACCTAGCAGGAACTGCAGATGAGACCCTGAGGCTCACCAAGCAAAGGTATCTTGTTCCGTTTCCCACTGCTAGGATGTACTGGAGCTGGAATCATAATTAAGCACCCACCAGGCGCTCAGCACTGTGATAGACATTTTAATAATAATATCCAATTAAAGATCAGAAAAGTGAGCCCCAGAATGGCTTAGTAGCTTACTCAAGGTCACACAGAGAGTGAAAGGCAGAGCTAAGGTTCAAAACCCAGATCTGTTTGACTGGATCCAGTCTCCCAGGTTCATTTCATTCACTCTCTTATGGTTACATGCAGTTGACACTCCAGTTTGTATCTTCAGACCATACATGGTCCCGCAGTTTCAGATGATATCTCCAAGATGTCTCGGGGGCTTCGCAGCTATAACATGTCTTTTCTCACTTGACAATCCTGGTAGCCCAGGCATTCTTGCTAGAAGCGAGAGTCCTTACCCAATCAGGTCCTAATGGTTTTATTCGTCACATATATTTAAAATCTCTTGCCTCTTCTCCATCTCTAGTACCACTTTAGGGCTTCATCCTCTGTTGCCCACATGACCACATGGCTTCCTAGCTGGTTCCTTTGCACCCAGTCTGAACCTCTTCAAATTTATCTTCCTGTGCTAGGAACAAAGTGGCATATCAGAACTGGAAATCTCACCATGTCACTCCCATCAGAGCATTCACATGCTATTTTCTTCTCTAAAATGCTAGTCTCTACCTAATTCCCTATGCTTCCCCTACCATAACATCCTGTGTATTGTTCTATTCATATCCACATGTTCTGTGGTTGTGCTTTCGATTCTGTCTCCCCACTAAAGGGAACACAAACTCATGGACACGACAATATGGTGGTTACCAAAGATAAAGGGAGGGGACGGGGAAGAGAAAGAAGATAGAGGGGTCAAATGCATGGTGACGGGAGCAGACAAGATGTTGGGTGGTAAGCACACAATGCAGTATACAGATGATGTATTATAGAATTGTACCCCTGCAACTTACATAATGTTAGTAACCAATGTTACCCCAATAAATTTCATTGAACTTAAGCTTCATGAAAGCAGAGTCTTTGTTTTGTTCCCTGTTGTATTTCCAGCACCTAGAGCACAGCCTGGCACAAACTAGGTCCCCATAACTATTGAATAGTTGAATGACTACTTGTGGGTGTACAGGAAAGGCATCTAACCAATCAGGTAATACTTCCTGGAAGAAGTGATACTTGTGTGCAGTCTTAAAGAGCAGAAGTAGTTAATTGGGTAGTTGAGGCTTATGTCTGACGGAGAAAGCAAAGTATGGAAAGACTCAGACCAGTGAAATATCTGGAAGGTGATTGGTGTGGCTGGAATAGAGGAAAGTAGGGTGAAGAGTAGATGGAAATGAGGCTGGAGAGGAAGGCAAGGACCAGGACCAAATGTGAAGGGTCCTGAACAACAGGTGAAGGCGTATGGACTGATGCTAAGCAGGAACTGGTTAATTTTTGTTAACAGGCTGTGGAAGAAGAAGCTGGAGTCAGGGAGAGAGACTGGGAGGCGGAAGCTTCATTTATAAGCAACCAGAAAGTTCTGCTAACTTAAGGACCCAGAGTAAGTTGAAAACAAATTGCTCTGCGGCTGAAAGGTTTCAGTGGTGATAGTTAGAAAGTAAAATGATTGCATAGATGGGCTTTGGAGACTTGGAAAGTAGACCGTGTTATTTGTGGCTGTTTTCTCCTTGATGCATGCGCAGAATTTCCATGAACACTAATAGAGCTGTTCTGAGTGCTTGCTGAAGGAAAGGAGGCTTGCAGATATCCATCCAAGCTGACCCACCCACTAAGAAGCACTTCTGAGCTCCAGCCTGTGAAAAAGGAAAGGTTCAGCTCCTGCAATGGGGTGAAAAAGTCCCTAGGACCTCTGAATTCCTAGGTCTGTAAATCTGGACATGAATATGTCTCCTAAATATGTGTGGTTGCTAGAGGAAGTTTGGGAAATTACTGTTAGAGTCCGCTTCAGCAGCTTATTGGTCCTTTTCTTCTGGTGGTTAAATCGGAGGTCCTGGTCCTTTGGGTAGGGACTGAGTCTCCGTTTTCATCCATCCATTCATTCAACAAACTAATGTTGCCTATCTTATATGAACCAAGGTCTAGACTGGCACTGGAGAAATGGCAATAGATCTCATTTCTACCCTTGAGGAGCCCTTAGTCTAGTGGGGAGACAGACACATAAGTAAATAAGTACAGTACAGCATACTAGGTGTTTATTGTAGATAATTGATTTAAAATGTTGAGAAAGTGGAGAAAGGAGTGATTAATACCATTCTAAGAAAAGATAAAGTCTTCACAGAGAGTTAATGTGTGAACCAAGTCTTGAAGGATAGATAGTTCTTAGCAGAGGGATCAGAATGTGTACAAAAGCCCAGAGGTGTAAAGTGTAAGCCTTGTGTCAGTAAAGGCAAATGGTATGGAGTGGTGGAGGCAGAGTTCTTAGACACTGTGGAGAGAAATGGGGCAAAACAATTAGCCAGGGCCTTAGAGGCCTCGTGAAGAAGTTTGGACTTTGGCCTTCAGATAATGGGAGGCTCTGGGAAGTTTTCGAGGAGGTGAGGGAACTAATAAAATGTGCATTTAGAAAGATAAAAATGTTCTTACATAAACAGATACTTTAGAAAAATTTTCAAAATTTAAAACTCCAACAATTTATGGCAAAGGAAAGAGACACTCAAGATTGTGTAAATTAGATAATTTTTTTTTTTTTTTTGACAAATGAAGTTTAGAGTTGACCAAACAGATATCATTAGAGAGTCCCAGGTTTGAAAAATGGCAGGAAGCTCAGATAATGCATTTACTGTGTTCAGTGGTGAAGGAACAGGCAGCTGGCCTTTTCTCATTTAAGGAATATCAGGTTCTTACACTTGTGCCTGTCAACCTTGGTTTTCTTTTGCTGCAGCCTCAGGCCTCAGAGTCTCATTCTGAGATTTGTAATGTGTTTTGGATGTGTTTATCACAGCCATATGGGACGAAGGCTCAGTTTGTTACTGCCCATTATTGCAATCAAAGGGAGTCCATCCAGAAAACAAGGCTTTGGGAGCGTTTATTAGTTCAGTGACACTGCTTCGATTTCAAAAGAGCAATGGTTTGATTGGATGACATTGTATTTTCTTTTAAATCAACCAAAATGATATAATTGCTGTCAGGGATAGGCTTACCCATAAGCTAAGGAGGTTAGTTTCAAGATTCAAGAAGACCAGGTTGTCCAATCAAATGCTGCTTTTTCTTGTTAAAATCACTCATTCAGTGCATATTTGAGTTCTTATAGGCAGATTCAAGGGTCACAGGAACAAATAAGACATAGTTTCTGGCCCCAAGAAGTTCACAGTCTGCTGAAGGTGAGTGCCAAGGTCTACTCTAGATCAGTGATGGCGAACCTTTTGAGCTTGGCGTGTCAGCATTTTGAAAAACCCTAACTTACCTCTGGTGCCGTGTCACATATAGGAATTTTTTTGATATTTGCAACCATAGTAAAACAAAGACTTATATTTTTGATATTTATTTTATATATTTAAATGCCATTTAACAAAGAAAAATCAACGAAAAAAATGAGTTCGCGTGTCACCTCTGACCCACGTGTCATAGGTTTGCCATCACTGGTCTAGATAAATGATTTAAAAAGGCCAACGATATGAATTATGGGAGTTGGAAGCAAAGGAAATAAGCCAATAAAGATGTTAGAAGATGCCCAACCTCATTAGTAATCAGGGAATGGCAAAGATAAATGTCATCCTTAAAGATCTAAAGGATGCAGCGATAGTGATCACCATTATGACTCTTTAATTCACTGCTCTGGGCCCTACAAAAATAGAAGGATCCTGGAAGATGGCGGTGAATTACAGCAAAATTAACCAAGTGGTAGTTCTAATTGCAGCTACTGTTGTGGCCTCTTTCTTGGAGCACATTAACGTGTTCTCAGGTACAAGGTATGTAGCCATTGATCTGGTCAATGTTTGTCTTTTCCTTCCCTATCAGAAAGGAAAGTCAGACTTCATATTTGCTTGGAACAGACAAAAATATACAATTACAGTCTTGTCCCAGGGCTGTTAACTCTCCCACCTCTCACAGCCTAGTCTGAAAAGACCTGCACCACCTAGACATGTTGCAGAGCATCATATTGATCCACTACATTGAAGACATCAGCTAATTGGGCCAGATGAGCAAGAAATGAGTATATTGGAAGCCTCAGTAAGACACATGAATTGCAGAGAGTGCAAGCACACACTGTAGATGCAGGGGCCTCACATATCAGTGAAGTTTTTAGGGGCCAGTGGTCTGGGATATGCCAGGGACATTCCCTCCAAAGTAAAAGACAAATTATTGCATCTCCCATGCCCTCATTAAGAAGGAATGCTTGGTAGGCCCCTTTGGGTTTGGAGGCAGCATATTCACACCTGGGAATACTGCTCCATCCCATATCGTGGATGACAAAGCTGCCAGTTTTTCTGGGCGCCCAGATCAGGAAAGGACTCAGCAGCAGGGCCAGACTGTAGTACAAGTAACCATGCTGTGTGATCTGGCAGAATCCATGGTATTGAGGTATCTGTGGTGGGAAATGATGCCTGTGGAGTTAATGACAAGGCCTAGGAGGAGAATCACTATGTAGACCTCTAGGGTTCTGGAGCAGGGCCATGCCATCTGTAGCCAGGAATGACACACTTTTCACAACACAGCTCCTGATTTGCTACAAGGTTCTGGAAAAGACAGATCATCTGCGCATGGATCATCAAGTTGACCATGCAGCCACAGCTGCTCATCATGAGCTGGATTCTACCAGATCCCCCAGTCATAAAGTCAGAAAGCCCAGCAGCAATTCATCGTAAGTTGGACATGGTACAACTGGCATTGGGCACAGCAGCGCCCAAGGGCAGAAGGTAGCTGTATGAGTAGATGGCCCAGACATCTATATCACCCACCACCTTTGCACCCGTGCCCCCCCTCCTCAGCTGAGCTATGGCTGCCTGAGAAGCTTCTTATATCCAGCTTGAGGTGAAAAGAACCAAGCTTTGTTCCCAGGTAAATGGCTCAGTATGAATGAGCAAGCCAAAAATAGACTGGCTGCACTGCAGTCCCACACAGGGGTGTCCTTGAAAGACAGCAGAGGGGAAAATCTTTCCAATGGCCAGAGCTTTGGAGCAGGGCCATGCCATCTGTAGAAAGAAAGGGGGCCCAAGGTTAGAATATACCTGGATCTTTTTGTGGAAAGAAAGGGGGCCCAAGGTTAGAATATACCTGGATCTTTTTGTGGAAAGAAAGGGGGCCCAAGGTTAGAATATACCTGGATCTTTTTGTGGAAAGAAAGGGGGCCCAAGGTTAGAATATACCTGGATCTCCTGGGCAGTGGTGAATAGCTTGTCTGCTTGGGTCTAGAATAAGATTAGAAAATCGGGGGCAAGGAGCTCTGTGTAGAGGTATGTGGTTGGACCTATGAGCGTGGACATCAAGTGTGAAGGTCATTATATTTCATGTTAACACCCACCAGGCTGTATACCATGGAATAAGCACTACATAGCCATGTATATGCAGTTGACATCAGCCAGCCTCTATCTAAGGACACCCCAGGCTGGCACATGGGTGCATAAACAGTAATAACCATGGTGGCATACAAAGAAGGTATATGTGGGGTCCATAATATGGTCTCACACCCACCAAGACATGTAGTTATTGCTGACACAGAGTGTTGAGCCTGCCACTTACAGAGACCAACTCAGTCTCAAATACATCTCAGTCCCTTGAGGACAACCAGCCATTTGACAAGTTGATTATATTAAACCCTTTCCACCCTGGAAAGGGCTGCAATTCATTTTCACTGGAGTAGACATAGTCTAGATATTGCTTTGTTTGTAGGGCTTTATCCAGCACAACTCTCTAAGGGTTCACAGAGTGTTTGACCTGCTGGCTTGGGATCCCCTATGAGTACAGCAAGGGAGGCGAAGCAGTGGATGCAGGCCATGAATCCACTCGTCCTTTCATGCACTGCACTATCCTTAAGCTCCAGTTTGTAACTATCTCTTGAAGACATAGTGAGGTATCAGCTCAGAAACTCTGGGAAAATAGGGTGCCATTGCAGAGAATGGATAGAGTGTGGGGGTGGGGGGGGGGGTAGCCAGGAGAGACTCACTCTTTCTTTACCTGATCTTTTGAAATAAACTTTTTACTTTGGAATAATTTTAGATTTACAAACAAGTTGCAAAGAGCCCAGCTGGTGTAGATCAGTGGTTGAGTGTCGACCCATGAAGGGAGGTCACAGTTTGATTCCCTGTCAGGGCGCATGCCTGGGTTTTGGGCTCGATCCCCAGTAGGGGGTGTTTAGGATATAGTCAATCAGTGTTTCTCTCTCATCACTGATGTTTCTATCTCTCCCGCTCCCCCTCTCTCTCTCTGTCTCTCCTCTCTCTGAAGTTAAAAAACATAAAAAAGAAAATAATAAAAAGTTGCAAAGATAATACAGAGTTCCTATATGCCCCTCATCCAGTTTCCTCTATTGCTAACATCTTACATTAAGTGGTACATTTGTTGAAATTAGAAATCCACCATGGGTACATTCTGTTAACTCCAAACTTCATTCAGACTTCACTAGTTTTTCCACTTACATCCTTTTTCTGTTCCAGGATTCAGTCTAGGACACCACATTGCATTTAGTCCAGTGCCTCTCTAGTTTCCTCTGCTCTGTGGTAGGTTCTCAGTCTTTGCTTGTCTCCCATGACCTTGACAGTCTTGAGCAGTGCTGGCCAGGTGTTTTGTAGAATGTTCCTCGATTGGGGTTTGGCTGATGATTTCCTCCATAACTGGGGTTATGGGTTTTGGGGAAGAATGCCACAGAGGTAAAGTGCCCTTCTTGTCACGTCTCATCAGGAGGTACACGATACTCACATAATTTATCACTGGTGATGTTAACCTTGATTGCTTGGTGTAGGTCGTGCTTGCCAGGTTTCTGCACTGTAAAGTTACGATTTTTTTCTTTTCTTACTTTCTTCTTTGGAGGCAAGTCACTAAGTCCAGACCCTACTCAAAGGTGGGGGAATTAAATTCCTCGGGAGGGTAGAGTACTTCTAATATTTGGAAGGTTTGCCCAGTTTTGCCTACTTATTTATTTATTTATTTATTTATTTATTTATTTATTTAATATCAGTATTGACTCACATATATTTATCTTATTCTTTGGGTTATAATCCAACCTGATGGTTTTTTTCACAGCAAATATAAATTCATATATCTATATATATACACACACACACACACACACACACACACACACAGTGGCCAGATTATTATGACCACCTGACGTTTGTAGGCAATTAGCTATAATTTCGAGCTGAAGTTGCTAGAGAGCCAGACCATTATATATAGGGAAGCAGGTTGTTTACCACGACAGTAGAAATGATTTTTTTTCTGAAGATATGGGTAAACAATGCGATTTAACAGCCTTTGAACGTGGGAGATATATATATATATATATATATATATATATATGTATGTATGTATATATATGCAGAAAACAAACAAGTATGCTGTATGAGAAACAAACTATATGGTTGGCAAGATTTTTCCTCCACAGCTCTTCATGACTGCTTTTGAGTAGGATAATCATTGGCTTATTACTATTCAAATAGCAACCTCAGACATGCTATCTAAACTCTTCAGGCCTCAGTTTCCCCATCTGAATAAGAGAATGCTTTTATGAAATGGTCTGAGGTGAAGCAGGGAGTGACCTTTGTATAGGAGTACAGGCATTTCTTTTCACCTATTAATAGACCTTAAGTTCTAAATGGCAAGGGTTATCTTCTCTTATTTATGTTGGAAAATGAACCCGGAGCTAATAGCCTTTGAGAACATCACGTAAACATAATCAATATTTATGCCCTATCACAACCCCAAGTAGTTCTCCTGCCCTGCTCCTCACCTCTCAAGGGGATTTGGTTTTCCTATTCTTTTTCAGCTCCAGGATTCAATCCAGGATACCACATTGCACTTAAGTCACCATGCCTCTCCAGTCTCTGTCACTGCCCTGACAGTTTGTTAATACTTACTTGCTTCCCATGATCTTGACAGTCTTTTCCTATTTTCAAACTCAGATTTTTCTCCCGTGTCTGAAATCCACCCTGAGGCCTGGCATCCAAGGCCTCGCCTTACCAGGCATCTGCTGACCTCTTTGGCCTCATTCTTGTCCCTCTCATCAGCCACACTGACGTCCTCATCACTGCCATGAATGAAAATGCTTCCAGAATAGCTCCCTCCTCTACATGAGGCCCTGTGACAGGCCCCAGGCCACTGACATGAACCAGGTAAGATTCTGTATCAGAGCTCACAGTCAGCCGTCCACAGCAGTCTGACATAACAAGGGATGAGTGGGGGATTGTGGGAGCAGAGTGGAGGGAGGTATTCCCTAACTATGCCTGTGGAGGGGCCTGGTCTGGAGAGACTCAGGAAGGCTTTGCAAAGATGCTACTTTTTGAGATGGGCTTTGATGGGCATATAGGAGTTTACCAGGTCGTAAATGGGAGAAGCGGTATTCCAAGAATGATATGTATGTGCAAGCCAGAGAGATGTCAGAGAAAAGAAACAATAATAAGTATAATGTGTCTGGAGCCAAAGGCAGGACAGAGAACGTAATTGATTCTCCACCTCGCAGTCAGAGTGAACATCTAAAACATACTTCAAAAATAAAAAAATAATAAATAAATAAATAAAACATACTTGAGGTCGCGTCACGCCCTGCTCAAAGCTCTCCAGTGGCCCACGTCACAAGGTCCCACATGTCTTGACCTCTGATCCTGTCTCCATCTTGACTTGTACCCCACTCCCAACCCGCTCTGGCCTTCTGCCCCTCCAACTTGCCAACTGCGGCTCTTCCTTGGAACGTTTGCATCCACTGTTCGCTGTGCCTGGCGCACTGACTGCCGATTCCGTGCTGACCCCGTGCCCTTAGGTTTCACCTCCTCAGAGAGGTCTTCCCTGGCCTTCCTCTCTAAGGAGGCCCTCCCCCACCCCCTCACGTCCCTGACATGAGTGCTTTTTATCTTCACAGGGTTTAACACCATCGGAACTCACTGCACTCTTATTTTTCTGCTTCCCCCACCAGGGCATACCCTTCATGGGAGCAGAAACCTTGTCTGTGTCCTCTGCCTCTGCAGCGCCCAGGGCAGGGCTTGGCCCTGGAAGGGCCCTATACTAGGTGCTGAACGAATGTGCGTGTGAACGAACAAATGGCTCCGCCTCCACACCTACAGGCTGGCCCATGAGAACCACGCGGTCAAGCAGCATGGTCTACACTGCTAGGAAAAGCTAATCCCAAGTGTGTGGATGACAGATGGTGTGGAGTCCTGAGCGGAAGTGCGGTTTTTATTAGTCTGAGTTGCTTTTGCTTGAAATAGGATTAGCATAAAAACCATCCCAGGCAAGTGGATAAGGTAAAGCTCTGTTAGTTACATTCAGATTTTGTTTTCCTGCCACAATCCAGAACCATCCTTTTGCTGGGTTAGTCCAGTTCATGGCTAAGGGTGCTGCTCAGAAAGGTTAAATGGGATGGGCGTGGGCAGGTCACACACAAAATCCTCAGTTCCCCGTTCTTCCCCTCCAGTCCCCTCTCCGAATTGACCTCCAGAGTGACCTCTTTAACCCATAAAATCCAACCTTACCACACCAGACATAAAGCCTTTTAGTGGCCACCATTGTCCCAGGATAAAGCCCCAATGCCCAGATGGGCTGCCCCTAAAGCTCAGGCGTGTTCTCACCCCGGCTACCCTGCCTCCCACAAGGAGGGAGAACTGGAGAGAAGCGTATGTTGGGCAGTCGGCTAGAGCTGCTCACTGACAGGCTTTGCTTCACATACCTGTCTTGCAGCAAAGAATTCAAACTTGGGCCTCAGTAAAATGACAAATTATGGCCAGTCACTGACCCTCGAGGCTATTGACAAATCATCAAGACCCAAATATTCCGATCCTGCATCCCTCTAGTCCTCAGTTCTTGCAGTTTCCTGCCTTTTTGCACCTTCATGTCCTTGGTGTGCCCTTCGGAGGTGTCGCCTCTGACAAGCTGCTCAGTAAATACGTTGATGTGAGATGGAATAGCAAGGACATGGCTGGGCAGGTTATGTCAGCTCTGCCCCTTTGGCACACATGGCTGGTGGGTCATGTCACCTCTCTGTGCCTCGGTGTCTTCAGCTGTAAGATAGGAGTAATTACATCTAACTGAAAAGGTCTGAGGATCCTCAAGTGAGGTCATGGAGGCCAAATGACAAGTAGAATGCCCCATGCAAATGGCATGATTTCCAGTAACAGTAAAAGCTGGAGTGAATCTGATCACCTCTATGGAAAAACAGCTGACTAAATTCACACCTACTGACTGCTCACTTCTTTCTGTCTAATCCACAACCTGCCTTGGTCAAGTCTTTCACGTCTTACCAAATCCCTTTGTTGCCTTACTAGTCCTCACCCAAGCCCAAGAGGTGGGATTGGGCAGGAATTGCCACCCCTGCTTTATGGATGAGGAAACTGAGGTTCTAAGGGGGAAGTGCCTGGTCCAAGGTCACAGCTAGAGAGAGGCGGTGTGGTCCTCATACCTGGCCTGTCACGGCCCTGCCCTAGCCCACAGGATAGAGCCTGTCCTCCTTAGCCTGGCACTTGAGGCTCCCCAGGATTTGGCCTTGCCTCCTTCCCCACATCATCTCAGCACACTCCCCTTTGTGCTTCAGCCTCCCGAGTGTATCATCATTCCTCGAATATGCAATGACGTTTCTCAGCCCCTTGTCTTTGCTCCCCATGTTCCCTCTGCCAAGCTGCCTGGAGCACTCCTGTCCATCCTCCATCAACTCCTCCTATAGTCACCGTGACAGATTTCTGACACATAGTTATTGATGTTTTCCTTGCTGCCTTATTGATCAGTTTGCAGAGTAATTCAGTGCTCAGGCTCTGGAGCACTGAATTTAAACCCAAATGACCTGGGTTTAAATCCTGGCTCAGCCACTTACTAGCTGAGTGATCCTGAGCAGGTTACTTAACCTCTCTGTGCCATGATATGCTCTCAACTATATCATGAGGTGCCTACCTCCTAGAATTGTTTTGAGTAAATAATACATATAAAACAATAATCATAGGTTCTGGCCCAGAATAAGCACTCCATATTAGCTTTCACTTTCTCTTGTTTGTATACAGTGTTTCTACCCTCTCCCCTGCCACTCAGACTCGGCGTTTGGCCTCAGAATCCAGGGGAGGAGAGAGGCATGCCCACACTCCAAGGCACTGCATTCATTCTGACATGTCACTGTTTTGCATAAGTCCTCCTGTGTCCCTGTTCATGGGGTCCAAGGAGCAAGCCCCATTCTGTAATCACTCCTTTCTGCCCCCAGAGGTGGCCTGAGTCCTCACGCCCCTCACTCTGTTGAGTGTCTCCTCGATGGCTTTGTCAGCTGCCCCTTCACTCCACGTCCACCCCAGAGACAGGCTGCTCCCAGAGCACCAGGAAGAGCCGGCTGCAGTGCAATTTATCTCACTGGGCTGCTTCCCCAGCTGAGATTCAGGCTGTGCCTGTCACAGTGACCCTGCAGCTCAGTTACAGATCTGCTTCCAGGCTAGACTGAGCCAGGAACCTGCCTGGATTTGCCAAGCAGCCCCGAGAGAGCCACAGGCCTTGTCAAACCCGGGACCTTGGCACGGGGCCCATCCAGCTGCCCTGCTTGTCACACATGAGGAAACTGAGGCCAGAGGTGGGGAGATACCTTCAAAGTTCCCACCAGGGAAAGTGTGTCCAGTGTGAAGTCTAATGCGGGCCTCTGCTTACCATCGAGGGAGCTTATTTTACTGTACATGAATGTATGACTTCATTATTACCCCAATAGCTTTCTTTTTATATAACTATTTGCTATGGAAACATGGCTTTGAAACTTAAACCTAAAGCAATACATTGCACGTCCATAAGCAGAGGCCATATTCTGTCCACACAAATTATTAGGAATGCATGAGGGGAAACCATGCCCAGCCCCACCAGCCTGAGACTACAAAATGGGGTCCCATTTTTGTCCAAAAGACAATGACCCTGGGCCCCTCTACATAGGAGGAATGTGTCCTTTTCAAAGAATCTGCCAGTTATTCTTCCCCAAAGTAGCCACAAACCAGCCTGTCAATGGCAGCCCCCATTAGATCACTGTCTGTTCCTGTCCAGCTCTAATTCCCTCTTCATCAATACCCTCAACTAGTGAGGCACTTGGAAGGAACCCCACTGCTGCCACCATTAATGGTGCCTCTGTGGTGACAGTGTTAGGGCTCAAAGGTGCCCCACACTATCTCTTCTCTGGGTGTGACACCCCCCCCCCGCCCCGCCCCGCCCCAGTGGGAATCCAGGTCCCTTGACATCCAGTCCTATGAGGTGTAGGGATTGGGTCCCCCTTGTGGATTGGTCAGGCCACCTCCCCCGAATGTGAGCAACCTCAACAGTGATGTAGAGGTGGCAATGCCCACTTGCAGGGTTGTCATGAGGATCACACGAGGACATATGTACCTGATACCTGGCACAGAGTAGATGTTCGATAAATGGCAGTTATTATCATTACTAGAGGCCCGGTGCACAAAAATTTGTGCACTCGGGGCAGAGGGGGGGTCCCTCAGCCCGGCCTGTGCCCTCTAGCAGTCTGGGACCCCTCAGGAGATAACGACCTGCTGGCTTAGGCCTGCTCCCGGGTGGCAGAGGGCAGGCCCAATCCCTAGGTGCAGCCCCAGGTCGGGCTAAGAGCAGGGCCAATCCGAGGGTTGGGGCGCTGCCCCCTGTCACACACAGAGCAGGGCCCATCAGGGGGGTTGGGGCTCTGTACCCTGTCATGCACAGAGCAGGGCCCATCAGGGGGTTGGGGAGCTCCCTCCTGTCACGCACAGAGCGGGGCCCATCAGGGGGTTGAGGAGCTCCCCCCTGTCACTCACAGAGTAGGTCCGATAGGAGAGTTGGGGCACCGTCCCCTGTCATACACAGAGCAGGGCGGATCAGTGGGTTGGGGCGCCGCCCTCTATCACCCACAGAGCAGGGCCAATCAGGGGATTGGGGCGCCGCCACTGTCACACTCAGGGCAGGGCTGATGGGGAGGTTATGGCTCTACCCCATTACACACAGAGCACGTCCCGTGGGAGGGCAGAGGGGGTTGGGGCACCGCCCTCTATCACCCACAGAGCAGGGCCCATCAGGGGGTTGGGGTGCCGCCACTCTCACACTCAGGGCAGGGCCGATGGGGAGGTTATGGCTCTACCCCGTCACACACAGAGCAGGGCCCAGGGAGGGGGGGTTTGGGGTGCCACGCCCTGTCACACACAGAGCAGGGCCGATCAGGGGGTTTGGGGCTCTGCCCCCTGTCACACTGATCCTGGTGCCGGGAGGCCTCTCGGCTCCGCTGATCCCGGTGCTGGGAGGCATATTACCTTTTTACTATATAGGGTAGAGGCCTGGTGCACGGGTGGGGGCTGGTTGGTTTGCCCTGAAGGGTGTCCTGGATCAGGGTGGGGCCCCCACTGGGGTGCCTGGCCAGCCTGGGTGAGGGGATGATGGCTGTTTGCAGCTGGTCACACACCCTTCAGGGTGGGGGTCCCCACTGGGGTGCCTGGCCAGTCTGGGTGAAGGGCTGAGGGCTGTTTTCAGGCTGGGGTTGACTGAACTCCCAAAGGCTCCTTTTTTCCTTTTTTTTTTTTTTTTTTTTTTATTCTGGGCCAGCTTTAGCTTGAGGCTTGGCTCCAGCTCTTAGGCCGCCTCCGCTCCTGAAAGTAGGTTTCTGGCCTTTGCTTACAATGTTGCGAATCTGCTGGCTGAAGTCCGGCGGTATTTGTTACAATGTTTGAAACTGCAGGCTCAGAGCGCCGGGGAATGTTGGTTTCCTCTGTCACTGAGGCAAGCAAGCCTCATGTTAGTTTCAACCTGCCTGGCTGCCGGCCGCCATCTTGGCTGACAGTTAATTTGCATATCTCGCTGATTTGCCAATGAAAAGGGTAGTGGTTGTACGCCAATTACCATGTTTCTCTTTTATTAGTGTAGATTATACTGTCTGAGGCCGGGTTCCCCAGGAGCAGACCCTGAAATGAGGATTTGAGACAAGTGGTTTATTTGAAAGGTGATCAGAAGAAGCACTATAAAGGTGCTGGAAGGTGAGACAGGAAGGGAAAGAAGTGAAGGGTGTGTTATCAAGGAAGTTTCTGCTCTAACCAGCCAGGGCTCCATGCCACCAAAGAATTCTAGATGTACAGAATGTGCCTCAGAGTTGTGCCAGTCCAGGTGAGGGAGGTGGGTATGCACCCACAGACTGGCTGGGATCTGCTGTGGGGAGAGCATGTGAAGCCTCTGACCACTTTCCCGCGTGCATGCCCCAGGCTGGTGTGCCCCAGGCCAGAGCAGGTCCTCAGACCAAGTGAGTTGCGAGGGCTGGCCTTGGAAGCTGTCAGGCCAACCTGCAGAAATGGTGAAGGCTACGGGACACAGCCGGGACCCTCAGAACATCTGCTACAAAAGCCATGTAGTGTCACTCCATCTAAAAGACAAGATGCTGAAACTACCTCCTTCAGGCCGAGGCAGCCCAGGAGAAGGGTGGAGGCTGCTCGGCTTTTCGTTCCAGCTCTGCCGTCTTCAAACTGACCTTGGGCTGAGCAGCCTCTGGTCTTCAGTTTCCTTTCCGTTCAAGTGGAGCGTTCAAAGCAGATGGATCTTGAGGTCCCAGCCACTTCTAGAAGTTTCACAATTTACCTGGCTTTTTACACTGGAGCCTCACAGCACCTCTTGGGAGGGGTACCCAGGGCCAGACGAGCCTCCCTGTTGAGAGCTGAGGAAATCCAGACTCAGGGAAAAGCGGCTAGGCCAGCAGTTCTGAGTGTGGTCCCACCCTCTGCTATGTCAGCAGCACCAGGGCACTTGTTAGAAATGCAAATCTTGGGCCTCACCCCACATCTACTAAATGGAGACTCTGGGGTGGGGCCCAGCAATCCATGTCACCCATGGTGATGCTGATCCTAGGCGTGTGCAAGCTGGAGACCAAGGTCAGGCAGTGAGTTAAAGGCAGAGCTGGATGAGAATCTAAGCTCTTGCCTCCTAGGCCGCACATCTGCTGTCAGCACAGTACCTTGTGCTTAGTAGGCCCGCAATCAGTAGCAGGGGAGCCTTAGGCCCCACACCCACTTCTGAGGGCTCTACCTCCGGGCGCCTTTGGTGCCGTGCTGTGTCTGCTACGGGTCTCGGTCGGACAGTTTGGAGCTCTCGGATGTCAGAGCATCAGGCAGTCAAGCAAATCCACGGTAGATGGTACTAGAGAGAAGGGTCCCCTGGCCCTCGGTCTCTCAGCAAGGAAGTGAGCCAGCCAGACCACATGGTCCCAGCTCTTCCCTCACAGCTCCCACTGCTGATGTGGGGGGCCCCTTTGAGCTAGGTGCCACCTGGAAGCTCTGGGAGACCAGACTAGGGCCAGCTAGCAGTGAGGTAGGCTGAGGTCTTTTGAGCCGTCTGATGCAAGGCCAACCCTCCCTCAGACTTTCGCTGTTCCTGGGGTCTCAGCTTCTCCCAGACACCTTCCCCCTTCCCATCCGATGTGCGGGAGCTGATGAGAAATCCAGCCTTAGGGGAGGGGAAGAAAACTATAGGCTTCTAGCTATCCTTCCTCCACCTACCTGCTTCCCAGGGCCACGTAGATACAGGGCGCCCCTCAGTGCTCCCAGAGGTAGGGAGCCCTCCCCTCGCAGAGCCAAAGGGCCTGGGTCACAGCACCAGGGAAGACGGGTCCTGCAGAGGCTCATCCAGGGCAGCAGGTTCACTGCAGATCCCAAGAGCCATCCCCAAATGCCTGAGGGGGCGCAGACTCAGCCAAGGTCACCCAGTCGGACCCCAGCTTCCTGACCAGGGCCGGGGCTGACCAGAGGGGCTTTGCAGCTCACTCCCCTCCATGCACCTCTCCTGCTCGGGCTCTCAGTATCTCCCTGACTTTGCGCCACTCTACAAATCTGACTCCACCCCCCTGGGCACTGACCCCGGCTCCACCTCCACCACGGCACCACGCCTGATTCACCAGCTCTCCTCATTCCCAAGTATTCATGGGGTTGCTGGCTCTTCCCCAGGCTGGGGGCTGCTGACCTCTCTGTCCTTGAAACCTGTTCCTCTCCATTTTTCTAACATCCACACTCTTCTGGCTCCTCCTAGGTCTCAGGCTTTGGTGGAATCCTTCACTCACCCACCTCAGATGTAAGTGGCTATTTTTATGTTGGCCATTGTGCTGCATCTGGTGACTCGGTGGTGAGAATGTGGTCAGGACCTGCCTTCCAGAGCTCACAGCACAAGGGACCCTCCCTCGCCCTCCTTCCCACTCTCCTGGTAATCTCAGCTGCATGCCCAAGGCTGTCCAGCCCCTGACTTCTGCCCACACCTTTCTCCCAAGCGCAGGCCCACACCTCTAATTACTTGGAGGACATTTCCGTCTGGATGGTCCACAAACAACTTAAACTTGCAAGGTCCAAACCAAACTTATGTTGTTTTTCTCTGCGGCCACCCCCACCAGGCTGTGTGCTGCAGGAAAACCCGGTTGAGGTTTGTTCATCTGTGCGTGAGTCAGCAGAGGAGAGAGGAAGAATGCTAGTGTGGAGACCACTGAGGCGGCGAGCTCTCAGACTCAGTGGGTGAGAGACCAGAACACCAAGGAGGGAGAGATGAAGGGCAGTGGCATACAGACGGGGAGCCATCCTGTCCCTGCAAGGAGCACAGAAGCTTCTTGAGGTGGGGATGTCTGAGAGGATAGCATTTCTACAGACAGAGATGGAGGCCATCAGCAGAGCATGGGTGTGGGTGGGAACACACACACACACATACATACACACACACACCCCATCCCAACCACGACACACACACACCATCCCAACCATCACACGCACACACACACACCATCCCAACCACCACACACACACATACATATAC